GGTGGCTAGGCAAAAGAAGAATATGTGTTTTGATTTGTACGATTGTAAGATTTGTACTGGGGAAAATGTAAGGAGTAGAAAGGGCGTTTTTAATGTAATGAAAGGAAATTAATTCAGAGAACAAGTGTTAGTTTTCACTTGTCAGGTAAAATATAAGTCCATGAAATGCACAGTAACAAATATATAGGCATAATGTAACACAATGCCACCATCTGTATTTGGATTTAACCCCAAATTTGCTGTGACCTAAACTGGAAATACTTTCATAATTGATAGTGATAGGACTGTGTTTTGCTTTAAGCCCACACACACAGTTTTTTTTTGTGCCCGCCTGTAACTTTTCTAAGAAATTTAGTTCATTCTATTTCCCAATATATTTTCCAAATCATTTCCCAAAATATAAACAAAGTAATTTAAACCACAGCGACCCTGACCAGTCAGTTAATAAGGATGCTGTAAATACATTGTGTTCACTCACACCCACATGAATGTAAATACCTCCTACTCAAGCAACTTTTTTTGTTGCATTTGGTGTAATCCCAGTCCAGATGCACAGCTGTAGTCTCAGATGCCCTTTGAACCTTCCTGGCAAGATTTCTTTTTTTTTTTTTTTCAAATTGTATTCATTTCTGTGTTTGTATTCATTTAGAATACATTATCTGTTCGTTCTGAAAAATGTGTTCGTATTCGTTTGAGAGAGAGAGAGAGAGAGAGAGAGAGAGAAGAAGAGAGAGAGATATGTTCTTACCTTCTTTAAATTTGCACTGTATCATATCAAATTTTCATATTGTCCTAGTAACTAATGTGATATACTGTAGCTAAGTCTAACCTATAGAATCATAATGAAATATACAGTAAAGCTGTGCAATCACTGATGTATGATCATGTGCTGTAACAATATTTTGTGTCTTTACATAAACTGTATCTGAAGCAGGGCTTAAAAAGCTTCCCCTTCTTTTTTTTTTTTATAAACTCGTCCATTTTCATGTAATGAAATGTCTGAGTACAATGGTGCCTACACTTTATTCAAAGCCTTATTTCCATATAAACTACTAAGAAAAAATAATCACAGACTGCAAAGGTCTAACTTTTGCCTTCCGTACATTGTGCTTTCTTCCCTGTGCAGTAGATCGTGACTGGCTCTGTCTTTCTTTCCCTATAAATCAATTCGTTTGCTCAGTCACCACATGTAGTGAATGATTCATACTCGTCACTGCTGAATCACCTCATGAAGACACAGCTCACTCCTCTCCACTTTATCTCACCTCAATTCTCCATTTTGTCTTACATATACCACTGTTAGGCTCGAGGGAGGCTTCTCTCAAGCCACTGATCACATCAAACTCGGGGGCTATGGTTAAGTCCTCTCCTCTCCCAACACCCATTATTTTTTATCTGCTCACTTCAGGAAACACATTATTGTGATAGAGAAAGAACAAGCTGGCTGGTAATGGAACTATAAAGGCATGACTAATACCGCCTGTATAAAGTAATGTCAATGCCCTCCATTTTATCTTAGCCGACATGCTAATGACTGCTACCTAAGATAAATGTGTCCTGCAATGTGAGCTGGTGAAAAGTGAAGGGCCACATGTTGAAAGAAATAAATTAAAATCACCTAGCAAATTGCAAATAACGAGGTGCTATGTTTGCAATCAGCCAGGATGAGGAAAGGCCAGTCCTAGCACTTAGCATGAGCGCTTTACCAACCACCACCCATTTTCAGACCTAGAGATTCATGAGCTATTTTTGGAGTGTGGTGCATTGCAGCTTCTTCCACCACAAAGCATTTTATAAAAGCAATTACTCCAAAGCTGAAAAGAAAACTCTAAAAACTTCTGGTGGACATAGTCATTCTTTAATTTAACTTTCAAACTTTATGTTTCATGATTCAGCAGTTGCATAAAGAACTTCCGAGTCTAGTTTTAGCCGGAAGGTAACTTTGTCAAATCTTTCTAAATTTATAAACATATACATCACACATTCTGCAAAGTCCTGACACAGCAACTCCAGTTTTATCTATGTTCTCTGACACTACTAGACAACTTCCATGCTGTACCTTTCTATTAAAATGTTTAACTTACAGTATCTCTACAGGCAAGAGATGTATTATATGATATGCTTCTTACCCAGGCAATGGCCATTATACCCAAGGCAAAAAGGCTGGGGCCTAGAAGGTTCCACAGGCCATGGCGGTCCAGCTGAAGAGCCATGGACAGAGACATTGCCCCTAGCAGGTACAGCACCTACACAAAGTGGGTGAATTAGCATTAGGTCACTAAAACCTTTTAAAGGTGAAAGAATGTGAGTCCAGGTCCTCTTGTTCCTCTCAGATGCTAAAGTACACTCTCACCATAATAAACCATTTGAAACATATAATTTTATGGTTCAGTAGCAATTTGATACAATTGTGGTAAAGATGTAGTCTCTCTAGCATTTTAATTTATTGAAAAATGCCTTATTACTATCTCTCTCTCTCTCTCTCTCTCTCACACACACACACACACACACACAATCTATTTCTGTCTCCTATGAGGTTTCATTCTTCCTTTCTTAAATACTTTCATGGCACTGAGTACTCCAGAGGAAAAGAGGAAATGTTATGCACACACTGAGGGAATTGCCTGAAATGTTCCCTACAAAATGCATATTTTGCCCATAAAGATGAGTACTAATATTCACATTTTTATATTACAACACTAAATCAGGGCTAGACAACTCCTGAACTTCTCCAGAGCTGAAAAGTGCAATTGACTCTAGATACATAACATTGAATCATGATTCATATAAAGTATACTGTGTGCTTTATTGTATTATTATTGATGAGTTAAGCTATAACAACGTTGACATCAAGTCAACATTACCTGCTTGATGATGGATTTAAGTCTGGCCATGGCAATGACTGTAACCCAGACGGACATGAGGGAGCCAAGAAAATCACAGAACTGGAGGACATCATACTCCATAATGCAGAACACTACTATGCCCGGCTGATCACAGGCATGGTAGAACTATAGAAAGAAAAAAAAAAAAGAAAAAGAGCTGTAGGGTATATTTGAACAGTAATACATCGGGATGTAATCAGGACTCGGATTAGGGGGAAGCAAGCGGATGCTATATCCCAGTTAAAAACAATTACAAAATTTCATTCCATTCCAAATTCCATTCATGAAATTTACATACCAAGACACACTGATCAACAAGTTTCATTTCGGATAAAGAACCTCCTGGATTGATGGTTTTCGTAGTAATGCACAAATACATATCAAATCAATACATATACATATATCAACAAGATCAAATTAATATTTTTTTATAGTTCATTTGTGGTTTCCCTTTATAAAATATATTTTTGGCATCCTCCAGGGTAAGACTGCGGGCCCACACGTTATTTAAATATTTAGGTAGGTGGTATGTGTCAAAATAACATACATATGCATGTCAGGACCAAGGTTTTCCAGCAGAACATTGCCCAGAGCATTACACTGCCTCCACCATCTTGCCTTCTTCCCATAGTGCATCCCTGGTGCCATATCTTCCCCAGGAAAGCAATGCACATGCACCCAGCTGTGCACATGATATTCCATTGATCCATGGGCCAGTTCTGATGCTCATGTGAGGTGCAGGTGCTTTTGGCAGAAGACAGGGGCCAGCATGCGCACTCTGACTCGTCTGCGGCTACACAGCCCCATACGCAGCAAGCTGCAATGCACTGTATGTTCTGACACCTTTCTATCATAGCCAACATTAACTTTTTCAGCAATTTGTGGTACATTAGCTCTTCTGTGGGATCAGACCAGACAGGCTAGCCCGTCACATCAGTGAGCCTTGGGTGCCCATGACCCTATCTCCGATTCACAGGTTGTCCTTTCTTGGACCACTTTTGGTAGGTACTAACCAATGCATACCAGGAACATCCCACAAGACCTTCCGTTTTGGAGATGATCTGACCCAGGTGTCTAGCCATCACAATCTGGCCCTTGTCAAAGTCACTCAGATCCTTACGCTTGCCCATTTTTCCTGCTTCCAACACATCAACTTTGAGAACTGACTGTTCCGTTGCTGCCTAAAATACATATCACACCTTGAGAGGTGCCAGTGTAACAAGATAATTAATGTTATTCACTTCACCTGTCAGTGGTTTTAATGTTATGGCTGATCGGTGTATATATGTAGTGGTGACTCAGTGGGTAAGAGCTGTAGACTACTAATTGGAAGGTTGTTATGTCAAGTCCCAACATCACAAAGCTGCCACTTTTGGGTTCTTCAGCAATGCCCTTTACCCTCAATTGCTCAGTTGTATTCTGTCTCAGTTGTAAGCACCAGCCAAGTGAATAAATGTAAAATGAAATGAAAATGTAAAATATAATAGTCTTTTTTTGTCATTTTATTGTACTCCAGAAAGCCTTGTTGCTAACCAGCCCATTGTAATCATGACAACAGATGCACTGCTTATTCATTGATGCATAGACTATGTTAGAGCAATGCAGATGTTCAAAGAAATACTCACCGTAGAGAAGAACATTGTGAAGATGTAGACAGAGGCCTCTAGCAAGTAATGGCTGCGAATGGCGATGGCCACCGGTGGCACGAACATCAGGTTACTCAGACAGAGCAACAGGGTAGACAGTAGCTGGAATCCATATGAATAAGCTTCTGTGTTGTCTGTACAGCCCCAGCCATCCCAACCTGTGAGACGCACACATTAAAGGATTCGTTTTGGGGTGAGTTTTCAGAAAGGCCCTACAAATACACTGTAAGTTCATTGGGGATGTTTCCCAGAATACAGCTTCATGATAAAGTTTTATCATAATAGACAGTACAATATACAATGCCTGACATAAGTATTCAACCCCCTTGAACCCCCTTTAGTGACATTTACATTTGTAGTATTTGGCAGACACCCTTACGCAGAGTGACTTACATTTTTTTTTATCTTATTTACACAACTGAGTAGTTGAGGGTTAAGGGCCTTGCTCAAGGGCCCAGCAGTGGCAGCTTGATGGTGCTGGGGCCTGAACTCATGACCTTCCGATCAGTAGACCAACGTCCTAACCACTGAGCTACCACTGCCCCTAACATAACACTAACATAGTGTTAGAAACTGGAACTGAAATGGACTTCATTGGCATTATATGTCATGAAGCTACACAAAATAACCATAATACAGAAGTAGGGGTGAAAATCAAGATAGTTTGCAGCAATAAATAAAAATTATAAAAGTTGTGTTTTGGTTAATTATTAACACCCGTTGTTTTAAAACTCCTAAATTAGAGTCCCATAATTAGTTGAATGGAATCCACCAGTGTGCAATTAAAATGTCATGATCTCTGGAAGGCCCCAGATTTTGTTGGAAAACATAGCTAAACAAACAGCATCATGAAGACTAATGAGCTATCAGAATAAATCTGGGACAAAAGTCTGGAAAAGTATGCACTGTGTTTGTATTTTAAAAACATCCCAATCTTTGAACATCCTTTCAGAGCACCATTAAATCCAATATTAAAAGGCGGAAAGAATATTCAACCACAAATCTGCCTAGAGGAGATCATTCACCAAAAATAAGTGACCAGGTAAGGAAGAAACCAAGAGGCCAAGAGCAACACTTAACGTGATGCTACCACCACCGTGCTTCACTGTGTTCTCATAGTGATGAAAAGTGTTGGAAAAGTAGCACTTTGTGGCAAGTCCAAAAAAAAAGCCTTTTTTCTTTTCCACCTGTTTGCTGAATCTCCAAAATTTCATATGGCATATTTTTTTCTCAGAACTCTTCTATAAAGCCCAGATTGGAGACTGAAGTCATAGACTGAAGTGTCCAATCTGTGGCTTTCCTGTGAACAGCTTCTCCCAACTGAGCTGCGGATCTCACCAGCTCCTTCAGAGTTAGCCCTGGCCTCTTGGCTGCCTCTCTGGCTAATGCCCTCCTTACCCAGTCACTGATTTTTGGTGGAGCCTTCTCTAGGCAGAGTCTAGGTTGTGCCATATTGTTTTCATGTTTTCAGGCTTTAATGTTCTTCAGGATCTTCAAAGATTTGGAATTTTTTTTATAACCAAACCCTATTTGATACTGTTCCAGAAGGTATCCCTGACTTGTTTTGACAGCTCCTTGGTCTTCATGATGCTGTTGGTGCCACTGTATAATTTAGCTAACATTCTAAACTTTAACCACAGACATATGCATAAACAGCTCCTTCTGCATCAATACACACATGAACACAACTAAATAACACCTACACATCATGCTCAAACACCAAAACAAGAGAAGTGCGCACACATTTGCTGGCTCATCTTTGTATCTTTGTGAACAGGTTCATAAATATAGATTGGATCCTGTAAGCCTGCTGTGATGTAAACGCTGTGGAAAATAGGCACATCACGGTCCTTTCTGAAGACACTAATTTTAATTATGTCTGTCTAATCAGTACAATTCTGAAACAAAAATTCCCCCATCTCTCACAGCTCAAATAAGGATTCAGTGGTAAAAGCAACGATCAGTTGGAGCTCTTTCAGACACTTGAGAAGAAAGACTGTGCCTGTGTAAGGAGTCAGAGCGCTCCTTCTTCAGATTAAAGAGAAAATGTTCCAATGCCAGTTGTTTGCCTACAAATATCCATTAAACGGGAAGGGAGTTTATTCAACTGGCAATAGAAATCGCAAGACAGAATCCGGAGGGAGAAACAAAACGTGAGACACAAGAGGATCCTTAATTGGGAGGTAATTGAGAGGCTTTGATTTGCATATTTCCCAGCAATTTCCCATGTCCTGTAATTAAGCTACTATTTGATTCGTGATCCCTTATTCACAAGGTGAGATGAGTGACATACATGTGATTCATCATTTAACTTAACTTGCCAATTATGCCTGATTGTCGTTTAACTGTCAAGTGGGTGATTATCATGAAATTAGGAAAGATTTTGGCGATTAGCATCCCATTACCCTTTAAACTGATTGCAGTGCAAAGAAAAGTGTAAAGTTAAAAAAAAATGAAGTGTGTCCCATTCAAAGCTATTTTAGCTGTTTTTTAACAGTAATTCCTAGCAGTATATATGAATTGTTAGTAAAAAATTTTTAAAAAGGCCAAAAATAAGGGAACAAGAGACACTGCAAATGAACAGATGATGACTTTGAATTATTGCTTGGATTATAAGGTTACACCTGAATACAATAAACCTTTACATTTTAAACATGTAATCAGGTAAACAACAATGGGACAAAGTAGCATTTTCACTAAGCTGTGCTCTCTTGGTTTACACAAAATCCCTGCAAAAGGTCCACTCTGAATCTCCACTTTGAGTGAGGACGGAAGGTCAAATTAGAGAGAAACTTGAAAAAATGTCTGTACTTATGTGGGCAGGACCTAAGAAGCAATAGAATATCACAAGGAAAGCTGTTTTAAGGTGTAAGATTGATCACCTGCTTTGCACTCGCATGCAGCGTACAAGTAGTTATTGGTGCGGAGGAGTTTGCACTGGCCATAAGTGCCACAGTCATTGATACATGGGGTCAGATAGGACCGAAGATACACTTCTGCTGTTATATTAGCACACGCTTCAAACCTGCAAAGGACAACAATAAGGACATTAGTACAAATTCACTGGACAGTACTGCAGAAAATAAATTCCCTCTTGGGATTGTTTTAAGCTTCCTCTGACTTTGATAAAATGTCTATCCTGAAAGTAGCTTGGCAACAAGGGAAAATCAGTAAAACTAGATGAAAAGTGACCTAAAGTTTAAAGGCATCTTTTTTTTTACATGCTCTGAAGCAGCTATAGAGGTAGATATGGAGGTATATTCCCCAATGTTTTCAAAGTCTTTCTGTTGGCAGTCTGAAATTGTGTTCTCGAACTTTTGATGAACTCTCTGTCTCACTGGCTAATTTGCATTAGTGTTTTGAAAGTGTCATCAAAGTTTTAGCATGGTAGCTGTCAACATAGCACTGTATCTGAAAGGCTTTAGATGAATGTGTACCAGTACCACTCAATATTCGATGCCAGTCACATGCGGAAAGTATTATCTGCATGTAAATTAATGTCTCTGAGGAAAAAAGTGTGGCCTATATGACTCTTTAAACGTGTTTGGATGTGGAGTTGATCTGGATGTGTTAAACTTACCCGTGCTCTGTGGATCGTAGAGATCGGAGGCTGAGGTACCAGGTGCCAGTCTGGGGGTATGGGATCCGCAGCTTGGTAATGTTTGTAGTGGTGTTCACGGACAAAAGGAATCCAGAAACTGACTCTGTTAAGAGGTAAGATCAACGACAGAGGATAAGAAGAGAATTTTTTTTTACACTTGTTACAGTTGTGACTTTCCTAAATGTTTAAAAGGCAAAAATGTTGTAAGCTAAAGAGTTACATTTGCCCAGGCTCAAAGAGGAAAAGTAAAGAGGTCCTTGATTACATTTTATTGTCTGTCAATATTACATTAGAATTTTTACTGGCAACTTGCCAATAAGCTATTGTATAGAGTTCTCAACATTAATTTCAGGGAAATGTGATCAAAAGATTGCATGTGTATAAAGTATGTGTGTGGCGATCTGGGAAAATCATAAGGTGTCTCTACAGCTAATTTCTGGCAAACAGCCAAAAATGACAGTACACTGATACTCATATACACACATAGCAAACATAAATATAAATAATGTGGAAATGTTTTTTATTGATGTATAACCTTGCCTGGGCAATCTGCCTGGAATCATTATGTTGGGTTATTCAGTCAGTTTAACAAACACAGTACTAAATGCAGTCAGTCTGTAAATAATATATGTCTAAGACTTTGCTAGCGAACTGTGCTTTTTTTTTAGCAAAATCATAAAATAAATGAATAATGAACGAATTAATTAATTGAGTATTTTGTATTTAATATATTTACATTACTAGGGTTCGCCAACTGGCGGAGCAAAATATTTCAGTGGAACGAACGAAGTACTCCAAAAATTACTGTAGCAGAGCCGACATGAAAAAAAAAAATCATAGTAGTTCTGCGAGTCTAGTTTTCTAAACAAGAACCAGCTCGGCTAGGCGATCTTCTGCTGTGGCTTATCCAATCACATGCATTTGTGTAAAATATTCAGCTGAAGGAAACTCACAGAAAAGAGACAAGCTACAGGGATAAAGACGTTGGCTCAGAAAGGGAAGAGCTTTCTCAGACATTCTATTTTATTTAATCTCTCTGGTCTGATAAGCGAACTGATGAAATGGAATACGAAAACAATGTTTAAAGACGAATGGACAAAGAAGTAAATGTTTATTCTCCACTTCAAGTTCAAAACAGAGGTCTTAGCAGTTCAAAGTCTATGGCTGTAGTCAAAATTGGTCATGTGAAGCACCACTACAAAACAAAACAAAACACGTAAATGGTCTTATTTATAGCCATTAAATAATCAGGGTCGAGTTTCCCAAAAGCATCACACTACAAACATCATCATTAAATGGTAGCACAAGCATCACATTGAACACTCTCTCTCCCAGTTAAGATGATCATAACTTTGTAATGATGTTGGGAAACTCAGCCTAGTAATAATACCTTTAAAAGGTAACTGTAGTCATCATTCAGCTTATCTGGTCCTTTGAATTTTTTGCTGAACCCCCCTTTATATATAGAATTACAATTATATTTGGCTAGTAACTGACAGCTGAATATAGAACTCAGCAGCCCAAAGAAACTGGAAAGTAAATCCTGCTTTCGATATTGAGTCATCTCTGTGTTATTTATTTCCTCATTTATTATTTATTTGAATGATTGGGGCTAACCACATAGGATGGATCTCTTACCAGACTCGCACTTGACGGAAGAGTTGTCTCGAAGGGCCAGTGGCATTCCATGATGCAGGCAGCCAAATACAGTAATATTCTCCCCTTTCACCGAGGACTTTAGAAAAGATACATAAAAAAAAACATTCATTAACATTCAATAACAGGGGCATCAGAGAGTACATACATACATTACAAAAACTGAGAAGGAATGCATGCCTTAAGGCCAAATTGGCAAAATTGAATGAATAACTACTTTGATATTTCCAGATATTTTTCACAATAATAATTACAGACAGTATTAAGCCTGAAGCACTGTGGGAC